AGAGAGAATAGTGCAACAATGAATGAGTGGAAGCCCAAAATCTCTGTAAATGTTTATGAAAATTAATAAAATATAATTATAGAAAAAAAAAGCAATTCATAGCCAACAACCCCCCCCAAAAAACCAAAAACCCACAAAAATTAGCAATATTAACAGGAAAAAAGGATAAACAACAAATGGCAGATGTTCTTCTTAGTAACTATAGTGAATGTTAACAGACTAAATGCTCCAATCAAATGATGGCAGAATGGTTAGAAAACTACACATGCATGTAAGACCAACCATCTACAAAAGACACGTATCTAAGGAAGCTCTGGAGGCCATGTAGCAAGAAGCTGCACTGCAATCCCTTAGGTGCACAGTTCAAATCCACCAGATTCTCTACTGGAGAAGGAGGGGCAATCTCCTTAGCCAGTTGGATCCGATTTGACAGTGCACAACAATAAAAGAAAACAAAATACATCTTAGGATCAAAGACACAAACAGGTGGACACTAAAATGCTAGAAAACTATTCTCTGCATCTCAAATATTGAAAAAAAATCTTAAATGAACATGCTTGGAGGTGCATATCTGTAAGTATGTTTGCTCATTTTCTATGGAGAACTCTCAGAAGTGTTCCTTTGCTCTGTTCAGGTGCTTAAACCTATGATGGTGCTTCTCTGGAAGTTCAAATCCACCAGCTAGCTGCTCAAAGGGAGAAAGGTGGGATACATGGAAAGGGACAGAAGAAACACAGCCAACGAAAGTAAACACTATTACATATACAATCCTGTTACTCAACAAGGAGATACACAGGAAGACAGGAATGACACACAGATATGACAGGTTAAAAAGAATTACACTCATGACCAACTATAGGTTTGACAGATAATATTTCTATATCCTTATATGTAGTGAATATGTTTATGTATAAGGCAGAGCCAACAGGGGACAAAGCTATGTAGGCTTCTTAACCAGAACCAAACATTCTAAGGGAATGAATGAGCTGCTGACTCTGGAGACTTGGGACCAAAGTCTTGGAGGACATCAAGGCTGGGTGGCATAATATATCATAATATATAACTTCGATGAGCTACCACCAGGATCTTAAATTTCCTTAAGCAACCTTCTAAGGTTTCTCCATTCTATTGGTCTCTCCATGTCTGAAACAAGAGGAGGAGGAGGAGGAAAAGTAAAGATGTCAGAAACAATGACTCCAAAGTCCATGTCCTCGAGTTCAGAAGGACTAGGTGATACCTGGCTCTAAAAGGGATCATAGTAGAAGATCCTGAGAACAGTGGGCAAAAAAGAGACAAAATTCAAAACCAAAAAAGGCCAGGCTTACTCATCTGGCAGAGGCTGGTCTCCAGGACTACACCCTTAGTTACCCTTCAAAACCCGACTTTCGTCAAATGGCAGACCAATAACACTAGAGAGGTACCCATGCTTTAGAATTACCAATTGTAGAAGGCCAAAAGAGCAGCACTGACCCGAGGCTATGAGTGAACTAAATCAGTTTCCTAAGGACAAATGCACTTTGATAAATTTCGATAGCTGTAGACGGGCTTCAAGGGCCTTTTGTTCATAGGGTCACTATGAGTTGTGCTCAACTCAAAGGTAATCAAACACAACAAGGACAAATATTGTGTAAAACCATTTTATAGAAACAGAAAGATAACTAGTAAAGCGTGTATGAGGATCCAAGGAGGGGTGAGGATAGGCAGGGGAGAAATCATAGGGTCGCACAATTTGGTGGGTGGAAGGAGGGGGTAAAGGAAAAGGGAAAAATCCAGCAGGGATCTGGAAAGACAGCATAATGGTAGACACAGTTCAAAACAATGAATGGGAAATGATTGTATGAAATACAATGTGAATGAAGGATAGTGTGAAACACAACATATACGAACTTTGTAAGCAAGCTAATACAAATAAAATTAAAAAATTAAGTGTCTCCAGGCATGACTGCTTTGCTCTTTATTTCTCATGTTCTGCAAAATTTTATATGATTTTGATGATCTGTTAATTCACAGGAACACCAAGTGAAGCATGCTGACCCCTTACCGGGATGTGATGAGAAAACTGCAAGGGCCGTTGTGTCCCACGGCTGGTGTGCCCCCTATGCAAACAAAGACCATCTCACATTGGCACACAGCTGGCACTGTGCCCAATGCTGACACATCAGATGCCAGAAGAGTCAAAGACGGACATTCTCACAATTATTCAGCATTGTTCTGAACTAACTAAAAAAACTCACTGCTGTCAAGTTGAAACCAACTCCCAGCTGAGCCTCCAACAAGTTTTCCGAGACTGCAAATCACACAAGAGAGACTGCCCATCTTTCTACTAAGGGGCTGGCAGAACAGAACCGCCAGGGAGGAGCAGTGTTCGGGTTAGCAGTGCATCTCTAGGACCTACGCCACCAGAGCTGCCTACTGTCTGGAAGTGCTGGCCATTTGTAGGAAAGGAAAATGGGGAACAACTGCTAGACAGATGAAGGTAAAAATGATCACACCTAC